TTAGCTCAAGATAGAGCTCAGAAGGCATCTGTGCACAAGAAAACGGAGATCACAGAAGGCTTAAAGATTTCCTCCTTGAACGAGGCATCGGTTCATCATTGGAGGGGGCCTATGGGACCATAAAGGGGCTGCAACCCACACCCTTCTCTTAAAAGTCCCTCTTTGCATTGTGGCAAACATCCTCTGCTCTGCACAGATTGCTCACAACCCCTGCAACAGCCTTTTCTGCAATGCCCCAGTCTTTCAGCATCCCTCCCAGTACCATATCTCCTTGCTGAAGGACCACAAGAAGCAGACTGAAGAGCACCTCTTCTAGATTTCCTCACCTCATCCCTGCTGAGACGTACCCATGCTCCCAGCCCCACTGATGTGGGAGCATGATGGACTCACTCGAATCACAGGGCATGAGTAGATATCGCTTGGGGACACCACCTCTACTGTTCCTACCATCATCACCAGTCTCGCAGGGCTGCACAATGACTGCCTGTGACCCAGGGATTGGTTTTGCTGATGCACGCACCGTAAGCCAGCATCCTATAAAGCCTAGGCTCCTTTCTTGCCATTCTGAGGAGCATTTAACCATCTTCTTCACCCCGGCTTCACCCTGTAAAGTTCTAAACACAGAGATGACACCCCATTGTTCACTCTGTAATGCACAATAAAGAAAAGGAAGGGGTGAAACTTGTTCCCTCCTCATCAGTTTTGCTGCCCTGGCTCTTCTCTCCCCTTCCCGAGCACCGGAATTGCTCAGCGTGTAAACGTATGTAAATCTTTGGCAGCATCCAGAACAGCCCCTATCTCTTGCTCTCTTCCTCTGAGCTGCTGGAGTAATTACAGTGTAGTGGTGCCAGCACGAGGCATTTCTGCTGATGAATGCACTCAATCTAAGCACAGTTTTATGTATCATTAATTCCTTTAGCATTCAAAAACATAACTTTTTTGATGGCAGATAATACTGTAATCACTCACAATTGCCAATACAATTATCTTCATTCAGCTGTGTAAAACAAGTGCAGCAGTCATTTTTCCCACTTAAATTTTCTTTCTCTTTTTTTTTTCCCCCTCTTAGTTTTTAATGTTCACACAAAATGGAAAGCTGTTTGGACTTAGGTTGCTGTCACACTGGCATTTCCCATTCCCTCATCTGCATAGAAAGGAGGTTTTCAGAGCCTGAAACTACTTGCTTAAAGTGTCCTCAGCAATCTTAGGGATCTCCCAAAGGATTTCCCCGTCCTAAAGACACGATTACGATGATATCTTGAACTTTTCCTTACTCTCCATCAAGCTACCATGCAAAAGCTGACAGGTACACAAGGAACAAGAAAGTTTGAGCAAATATAAGCTGCACATGCCAAGTCATGGTCCTCTTCTAGGTCAGCTCCTCCTCCACTCTGCTGATGGAGAAAACACATGAGCACTCCTTAATCTGCTTCAGAACAGAGACCAGAAAGCTGGCACAAACTGGGTGTTCAACCTACTTATGGTAACTCAGATACTCCAGCCTGAAGCAGATTTGGGAGCAACCAGCCCTCCCACGAGCACAGCTCTGGGGCACAGCGAAGAGGACTAACAGCTTTTATAGGCAGTGACAACCACAAAGTGAACAGCTCGGTTGAAACAACCATTTCCTTGCAGGGGCCAAAGGAATCCCTTCCACATGACACTTCTTTCCTGAGCTGCTGGACAGCCTTCTTGGAGGGGTTAAACTCCAGCTCCAAGAGGAGCTGCTTCATCTCCTTGTGGATCATGTTGAGGAATCCCAGCTGAGTGTCAGGAACCTACAAGAAAAGGAGAAAAGAAGCAGGAGGGACTGATGGCTGTTGTAAATGAAGCTTGGATCTTCTTCCAGAGGGCCAGATCCCAGGAAAGGGATTAGTGGCAGCTGGTGGCAGGAGCAGGTTGTTAACCTCTGGGAAACCATCTAATAGCAATGGGGTGAAGTGGAAGAACAGAAATGTATAAACTCCTGGGTGAACAGTGAACAATTTTTTATCATTTCTTCTGAAATAAGAGGCAGGAAATGAAATCAGCCAAGAGCAGCAAACAGGAGATGTCACTTTCTTGTAACATGTGGATAAACTGTGGATCTCCCTGCTGCAGGATGCCCTGAGTGCCAGAATCCGATTACTTCACACCAGAAATATCTGTATGAGCATACAATTATTAGTCACTGAAACCTGACCTCTGGCTTGAGACTTCTGGCACACCAAGAGATGGCATTAAGGAACACATTGCTGTGTGTTTGCCATGCTCTTGGCTCTGGTGTCAGATAAATGGGAGCTAGCTGGCTCTTCAGCTCAAGCCGGTCCAGCTGATGGTGTGTGATTTGTCAGGGTTAGAAGAAAGTGATGCCTTTCTGCCCCTCCTTTGGTAACCACAAGGTTACAGCATCTCTGCAGTGTGGTGGTACCCACCCAGTTGCAACAGATCCAACTGATCTGTTTTGCCCTCCCTTAGCCACAGGTTCCAGCCCTGCCAGGCAGAGGATGTGCAGGGGCAGGATTTATGGTGTTTCCAGCACCCTAAGACTCACAGCAGTAGGGTTGGAACTATATGATCTTTAAGGTCCCTTCCCAACCCAAACTATTCTACGATTCAAGCCCCTTATGCTTCTGGACATAACAGCAGAAAAACTCCACTTGCTCACCCAGCAAGGACATGCCCGTGTCTCAAAGGGACATCAGAGCATCACTCACCCCACCAGCTGGTCCCCTATCCCAGCCCATGGGGAGCAAGGCCAGACCCATTCTATTTCTGTTAAATGGTCCCAGGCCCATTGTCCTGGACAGGATGTCCTGGACAATGGCCTGCCTGTACTGGAGCCCCCCCATCCTCTGCCTTGTCCCATCCACTGGCCCCTGCCTGCTGGTGACTGGGTCACAGCAGAGACCAGCTGCATTTTGGGGTTTTCCCATGCCCTGGGTTAACCTCCTGGAGCTGGCCAGCCCCAGCAGAGCTACAAACCCTGACACTGTCCTGCCTTATGCCTCAACCCCCTTTATTCAGCCCCATACACTTGCCCTGGAGAGGGGAGAAGGAGGTCTCAGGCAGCAGCTTGTGGAGCCAAAGGAGCTCCAAATATAAAGCTTGTGTTTTGTTTTCTTCCCTTTGACAAGCCGTACAGCAGAAGTTGAAAACTCCTCCTGCGTGACAGGTTTTAAGCAGGGTTTAAACAAGGGGGAAGGAGGTTGGAGAAGCAATTTTGTCTTGCAGCAGAACTGTTTGCTAAATTCTCTTTCTCTAAAGTTCACCGCTTTTCCTGTTTTCTTGTTCAAAGGCTTCAGGTGCTCCTGGTTTTACAGCCTGCAGGGAAACAGCCCTGTTTTGGCATTGTGCTGCCGTGAGGTGAGATCAGTGCAGCTGAGGAGTGCACAAAGCCTCCTGTGCGAGAAAGAGCGAGGAGATAGGGATCACAGCATCTGTTCTCACCAACCCTGAGCCGATTCTGTCCTCCTGGCAAGGGCACCCCAACCAACACTGCTCCCCTCACAGTATCTTCTGTCCCAAGTATGGGGCTGCAGTGCCCTTGGAAGCTCTGTTACTGGGCCCCACAGTCTGAAAGAGGTGGGGAGGGAATAAAAAGAAGAAAAACAGTGGGAAAACAAAGGCTGTTTTGCATGTAATTTCCTTGACCCAGATTACAGGGAGCTGCTTATCCTCAAACACAGAGCGAGAAGCCATAGGCCACAAATTCAGTGAGGGCTGAATACTTCCAAGGCTCCAGCAAAGAGACACGGGATGCTGTGTATGTACAGCACAGCACTTCCCTCCAGGAGAGCCGCTCTCTGGCACAAGCTGCCCAGGTGCTGCTACACCTGCCCTGATGACCTCAAGGCTGAAGTAAAGGCAATGGCCTGAGTAATTACACCAAGAAAACCAGGCCTGGGGGTATTAATTCCATCACATTTCCTAGCTCAGCATCTGTCCAGGTGTGGTTTAGGCATGACTCATCCCTGGGAGGCAGACGGAGAAAGAAGACATCTCAAATCCTTCCCAACAGGTTTTCCATAATCCTACAGGCAGCATCTGAACTGGATAGCTTGAAACAATTCCTGATGAGCCTTTGCAAGCGGTGAAGGTTTTTTAAGGACAGATCCCACATGGGGCTGGTGGCAAACAAATTCTCTTGGAGGCCCCAGCACCACTCGCTGCCCTGCCTGAGCAGGGATGTCAGATTTTGATGCTGGAAGCTGCAGAACTTTGCAAAGCACAGGCGCACCCATGCTCAGTGATAAAGTCGAATTTGGTGGGCACAGGCTGGGATGCTTATTCTATTCCCCACACAGCTGCTTGGCTTTAAGAATCGCAAAGGATGTGGGTAACTTTGGGATCCCCCCCCACTTCTTTGATGCTCCTACTGAAGATAATACCCAGAGGGGCTGAGAAACAACGGGGAGGTCAAAGCATTGCTTGGGGAAGAGCAGCATAAATAAACCTGATCAGCGAGAGGGTGAAGGGTCTGGATGAGGAACTGCTGAGGGAACTGGGGTCGTTCAGCCTGGAGAAAAGGAAGCTCAGGGGAGACTTTATCACTCTACATCTACCTGAAAGGAGGGCGGAGAGGGGAGGTGGCTGGTCTCTTCTCCCTAGTAACAAGTGACAGGACAAGAGGTAACAGCCTCAACCTGTGCATGGAGAGGTTGAGTGGATATTGAGAGAAATTTCTTCACCAAGAGGGCGATGAGGCATTCGAACAGGCTGCCAAAGGCAGTGGTGAAATCACCATCCCTGGAAGTGCTAAAAACACACGTGGATGAGGCTTTTAGCGACACGGTTTAGTGGTGGACTTGGCAGCGCCGGGGTAACAGCTGGAGTTGATCTCAAAGGTCTTTTCCAACTTAATTGATCCTATGACTCTACAGAGCCCACCCATCACAGCGAGGGCTGCACTTCCACCGCAGAGCTGCTCCTGCATCCCCTCCCTGCTGCCGAGTCAGCAAACGGGTTAAATCCCTTCCCACGCAGCCCCACCTCTCCCGACCGGGATCCTCCCCAGGTTTTCCCTCCCTCTTCCCCACCTCCCTCCAGCCTCTGTGCCTCGGAGCGGGTGGCCGGCTCGCTCGCTCGCTCGGTCGGTGGGTGCCGGGCAGTGCCGCCATGCGGCTGCCGCTGCCCGCCGTGCTCTGCTGCTCGGCCGCCAGCCTCCTGCTGCTGCTGCTGCGATGGCGGCGGCGGAGCGGGCTCTGGAGGAAGGTGAAGGCGGCGCGGCAGAGGCAGGAGCGCAGCCTGGTGCAGATGGAGATGGCCGTGCAGCGCTTTCGGGAGCAGGTGGGTGCGGTGAGCCGCGCTTCTCCCTTCAACACCCGGCTCCTCGCCCTTCCCTTTAGCGTGCCCTGGGCAGGGGGGTGTCCGCGCTGGTATGGAGCTGTTTGGGGTTCAGTTTTGTTACTGTTTTCCCGTCCTAAATCCATGTGGGCACGCACCCGCACGCAGCGATCCCCTCTGTAGCAGGGATGGGGGAAACGCGCCGTGGGGCAGCCGGTGCGCTGGGGACAGCAGCAGCACATCGTAACCGGCACCGAGGAGAAGGAAATCCCTGCTCCTTGTCTGAAAGCTTCCCGGTGGGAGGCTCGGCCTCGCTGCTGAGGTGGCGGTAGCAGAAGGGGAAAGGCAGTGTGTTGTCAGCACAGCGGTCACGCAGCCCGCGGACTCTGCTCGTGGGGTCGAAGAGGGTGAGGATGTGATGACCCTAGTGCCCCAAACTCCTGCTCAACCTCGCTGTTCCCACTGCAGTCCTATCATACTGCTCGGCCTGTGGTTGGAGTGTGCTCCCTCGGTTCAGAGTCCAGCCTGGGAGATGAGGTTTGATGTTTTTTCTCGTGGTGTTTGGTAGGTAGTGAGTAAATCTCTGCTGACCCCTAACATGACCTCTCTGCTGTCAGCTGAGGGGCTCCCTGTTTTGAGCGCTTCCCTGTAGGGTATCTTGGTGATGCCAGGAGAAGAGTTAGCCCCAAGTCTGCTTTTGTTTCTTGCTGGAGCAATATCTATAACCATGCTGCCAGTTCCCACTGTAATTCAGCAGAGACCAATCCCCTCAGGCCTGGACAAGACCTGTCTGAACAAAGCTGCACAAAAGGCTTTCTCTTAAGCAGCAGGTACTTGGTGGAGCCAGTCTGGCGAGAAAGACAAGGCTTTAGAAAGCCTGGGCTACTGCTGGCCCTGCAGGTTTCATGTCATCCTCACTGTTAGGAGGAGGATCATGGGTATGAGGCATATATTGCCTTTGACCAGTAAATGGCAGATGTTTTTGAATGGGTTACAGCGTGCACCAAGGGGAGAAGAGGAGCCTACCAGCTGAGGTAGAGGTGTGTCATTGACTGTTCAACTTTTCCCTTAGCATCCTTCTGTGAACGTGGTCTCCATCCTCAATCTGCCTTTGCCAGAGCTCACCAAGAAACTCCGGGATGGCTCCCTACCTCTGGAGCACGTCTTCTATGCCTATGTGGGCAAGGTGAGCAGCAAGGGTGGTGGGCAGCGTCTAAACACGTAGTGGGGCTGGCTCTTTATGATGCTGAGCACATGTTCACTGGTTAGTGCTGGGCTCTTCATGCTTTCCTGTAAGTGAAGAGAGAGCTGGGCATCTTGCTGCCACGGCTCTCAGCTTGGTTTGGAGCAGAAGGGAACAGGAAGTTCAGTATCTGGGGAGCCCACACCTTCCATAGCTACAGAGAAGTTGCAAAGCACTGCTATTGTCTCCCCTCCGTTTCCAAATGGGTTGTGAAACCCCAAAGACTCAGTGACCACTTTTATTCTCTACTTTTTCCATAATGCCCTGATCACCTCCTGGATTCCCATTTTGGGGTTATCATTTTATACCACCCTAGAAGCTCAATCAAGAGAATAGCCTTTGTTATCCTGCTGGGCTGACTGCCTCTCTTCATCACACACCAGATGGTGCTTTGGGCCTTCCTGTGTCCAGGGAGCATTTTAGAGTTTGGCATGAAAATGTCTTGGAAAGGAACAGAAAGGCTGCCCTGATACAGGCTGCCCAGATGGGGAGGCAGAAAAGGGTGGAAAAGAGGAAGTGTCCTCTGCAAACCAGAAGGCTGTTCTATAATGCTGCAGGCTGTGTCTCACCTATGGGCTTTGCCTGCTTTCCCCAAGGCCCTGCAAATGGCCACAGAAACCAACTGCATCACAGAGTACCTGCAGGAAAGCGAGACCCAGGTCCAGAAAGCGAAGCCAGTGGGAAAGCTGGGCTTGCTCTATGGGGTGCCTGTCAGCCTCAAAGACTCCATCGACTGCCAGGTAACCACATGTATCCCGACATCCCTGGGGTTGGAAGTTTGGTGGCAGGGGGAGGTTTGACCTCAGCATCTGGCTTGACCTTGTCGTAGCTGATGTGGGAGAGCATACCCTGGCAGGTGACGGTTTGCTGTCCATCTCCCATATAAGCCAACAGAGAAGGCTGATCAGATTTACTACCAATACACGATGCAATGTGTGTATGATGGGTGGGTTGTTGGAAATGCATGCACGTGCTTTTATATATATATCTATGTATATGGTGTTGGGGGAATTGCAATCTTCCATTTGGAAACTTCCTGTTTTCCCAGGGTCATGATTCCACATTAGGGTTTATAAAAAACATCAATAAACCCGTGGCAGAGGACAGCGTGGTGGTGCAGGTGCTCAGGAGGCAGGGGGCAATTCCGTTTGTCAAAACCAACGTTCCCCAGTCCCTCGTCAGGTAGGTGGGCACCCCATTCCTTCAGCGTGGTGGCACCTCTCCTTCCCTCATCTCAAATGAGAGCTTCTATCAAGTCCAATTTTAATTTCCCCCCTTCTTTTTCAGTAACATTTGGTCCCCATTCTTGGTGTCTTTTAAGTTTCACTTTTAGAAGTGAACACGTTTACGCTAAGGATGGAAATTAACTCTAGCTCCAAATGAAATAAAGGAGAAGAGAGAAATCAGTGCCCTTCTTTCCTGTGCTGGGTGTTTTTAAATCACTTTCTTTTCTCTCTTTAAAATTAACCTCTCATCCCTGGCAGTGTTCAAGGCCAGGTTGGATGAAGCCTTGGGTGCCATGGTTTAGTGTGAGGTGTCCCCCGCCATGGCAGGGGGGTTGGAACTGGATGATCTTAAGGTCCTTTCCAACCCTAACTATTATTCTATGATTCTATGCTCCTGTTAACTGTACAGTGCCAATGCATATTCATGGAAGAGGAAGCTAGTTAAGCTAATGACCTTAAATTGTCCTGCCCCCAAACCTCCTGCTCTATCTGGCAAGACCTCTCTTGATGTCATTGATCTAGGGTGAGGTCAGGTGTGCTCTGCTGAACAGCCACCCTGTTACTGCCCTTGGGTCCTACTAAGTGAACTCTGTCAAATGGAATGGATGACTATTGCCCAAGCCGTATGAAATGCCTTCCTTAAGGTGACACAGCAGTTACTGAACATGTCTAAAAAAGCCATACAAAGAGTTTGCCTCAGGGATTATCAGATTTTCCACCAGTTCCTGGGGGATTTCAATGTTCAAATATCACTGCAGCTGGCATTTGGCATGTTCCCAAGCAGGGGCTAAGCAGTGCCTCCCCTCAGGTGGGGTACTGGCTGCTTTGGATGTCCTGTGGCACTTGGGACCACCTGAACAGGAAGGCTCTCCAACAAGAGGGTTGATGTATGTGTGCTGCCAGAGGGGCTGTCTGGGCAAGGCTTGATGACACTGAAATGAGCTGGCAGTGAATCCAGGTCCTGGGACTGCCATGAAAAGGCTGGTGGGAAGCTTTGGGAAGTTCTCTCAGATGAAGTGTTATCAATCTAACAACTAATGATTTACCTCATTACCTTCTGAAGATCTTTTTGTAGTGGCTGGTGTCCATGTCAGATAGCAACATTCCTCTCATTGCAATCTCTCTCTTGCTCTCTCTTTAGCTATGACTGCAATAACTTAATCTTTGGTCAGACATTCAACCCGCTGCTCTACACCAGAAGCCCCGGTGGCTCTACTGGTGGAGAAGGGGCACTTATAGGAGGAGGTGGGTCCATCTTGGGCTTCGGGACGGATTTAGGAGGGAGCCTGCGTTTCCCTGCTGCCTTCTGTGGGATCTGTGCATTCAAACCCACTGGGAACAGACTCAGGTACTGTGAGCAATGGGGTAATGTCTCTGGATGAGACCCACCGTCACCCTATTGACTGCTGTGCTGTGCTGCTCCTGTGGGCAAGGGGGAACTCGGGAGGAACTACAAAGGGCTTGTTTCCCCCTTCTGCCTGGATGTTTTCTGGGGGCTATACAAAGGGAAGCATTGGTTTCCCCAGAGTGGAGATGGGGAAACCTCTCCACCTGCATGCTAAGGGGGTGCTCATTCCTGTCTGAGAGGGCATAAATCATTCTGGGCTAGGTTGGGTCTCTCCTGGACATCCCCTTGGCCCTTCCTTCTTGCCAACCTCTGCATCTGCAGAGGGAAGGCAGTGTTTTCATTACCACCTACTACTGCTTAAAGCCTTTCCCTTCAATGAAAACTACCCAGCTGCTGTATTTTGTCTGTCTCTTTTTTTTCTTTGCAGTAAAAAAGGAGTAGTTTCTGGTATCCCTGGGCAGAAAGCAGGTAGGAACTGATGGCTGGTCCCCAGGGAGGGCAGGGGTGAGAAGGACCCACAGCTGGCTATGGGGGACCTTTTCCAACACATTCAGAGAGAGAAGCAGGTTCCTTTTCAGGCACTGTTTCAGAAAGCCACCCCATGATTCCTGAGAAACTAGAATGTGTATGAGCCTAGAGGAGCTGTTTGTGTAACAACAAACCTCAACACGCCCTGTAACAACCAGATTGCTGTGTGGTGCCACTGCTCTGTGAGAGGTGGGATTAGCAGTCAAAGGGGGTGTCTTATGTTGTCCTTGTGTCATGATTGACAAAGCCTTTTGTCTCATTTTGTATATCATGAGATGGAGATGTCAGGGCACGTTGATGGATAACAGCTCTGGGCCCATAATGATAGGCTTGCTAATAAGAAGACATCTGTAAGCATCCCCAGCCCAGTTCTCTATGGGGAACAGTTGCCAACACTAGACTAAGTCAGATGATGCCAAGAGGCCCTTCAGGGGCAGGGCATGCCCTCGACAGACCCCAACCACAAATGCTCTCTTCTGATCTCTTCCAGTGACTGCAGCAGTTGGGCCGATGGCAAAAGACGTGGAAAGCCTGGCTCTATCCATGCGGGCGCTCCTGTGTGAGGACATGTTCAGCTTGGACAGTTCAGTGCCCCCCCTTCCCTTCAATGAAGAGGTAAAGGACCTCAAAGGGGGTGAAAGTCTCATGAGAAGAGCTGCTGTTGCTCAGGCTGAAAACATCAGTGGCTCACTGATGGGGGAGACCTCTGGGACCTGTGGGTGGCCATATGGATAAGAGGAATGCTGCTTTCCAGGCTCACCCTGCAGCACGTGTTGGCTCCCGATGCCACTGACATCTATCCAGCTGGCACTCTCCTTTGCTTTGCAGATTTATTCCAGCACGCAGCCCCTCCGCATAGGCTACTATGAAACTGATTTCTTCACCATGCCAAGCCCTGCCATGAGACGTGCCATTCGGGAGACAAAGCAGCTATTGGAGGATGCTGGCCACACGGTAGGATGTTGCATGAACCCAATAGGTGTGTTGGATCTACCATGTTTTTGGGACCCATGGGTGAGCATCAAGCAAATTTGGCAAGGACGGGGGCCTGGAATCCACTCTACTTTGATGAAAGTAGATAGCTGCTTCTGGAAAAGAGAAACTGTTTATGCTGCAACTTGACTTCTGTTCTTGGCAGGATCTCAGAGCTCTTTAAGTGCTGGTGAACACAAAAGGGAGCCCACCCCAATACTTAACATGCTGAGGAATAGACACACTGCTGTGTGACTTGTCTGTACTGTGGGTGCATTTGCTCACACCTTGGCTGAGATCTGCATTCTCCTAGGTGCTGTACAATGTGGGTCCTGAGGAAGTGCCCACAGAGCTTACAGAGTCCTTGTGCTGTATCATTACTGTCAGGTCAGCATGTTTTCTGAGCCTGATGGACCACCTCTCTTAGTGGCTGTGATGAGCCGTCGTCTAAGTATTTGCTTAGTCTATTCTCAAGCCAGTTTTACTGCTTCTACATCATGGCAAACAGTTCCACAGATCTACTGCATTTTGCATGAAAAGCCACCTCCTGGTTTTGTATCTGGAGACAAGGACCTAAGGAGAAAATTAAAGGGCAGTTGCAGGTGGCTGACCAATATAGGCAGGCAGTCCCATATTGACCCAGACCCATTCCTAGGGTCTCGGGTTTCTGGGATGCTGAGCAGAGATTGTCTTCTTGCTCCTCTCTGTCATCTCCCATGCGTGAGGCATGGTTGTGGCTGAATACCTCCCCCTTACCCTTGCACAGGGATCAGGAGTGAAGTGGGGGGCACAGACTCATGCTCTCTGTCACCCACTGCCAGTTTTGAGGGACCTTTGTGCCTTGGGGCTGCTTGGACATGAGGGGGCCAAGCCCATCCTGTATCTTCTGACTCATTGGTTGTTGCTCCAAGGGAGAGCAGTCTTTTCAGGGAAGGATGGATGGGATGGGGAGGACCTGGTGGCCTTCAATGCTGGAGGGAGGCTTTCCTGCGGGTTTGTCAGGAAATCCTGAGCCCAGCTTGGCCAGTTGAAAGCACTCACTGGCTTCTCTCAAACAGCTTGCTTGTGCTTGTGCCACTGACTCCTCTTCTGTTGTCCTTCCAGCTGGTGCCCTTCGAGCTCATGAATGTGGACTATGCATTCTTTAACTTCTGTGTCAAGGGAGTGTTTGCAGATGGGGGTGCCAGCTTCCTCAGGAAGTTGTAAGTATAGCCTGGAATGGTTTGGTGGGATCAGTACCTGTCTATAAAAATCCTCCCTAGGGTCTGGCTAGCATCCGGATACGCATAGCAGATCTACTGGATGTAGATATGCTAATATGCACTGGGATTTACTGGGGAGCTTACTATAAAGTGATTCAGCTGAACCTTGGTCCCTTTGGGATTGTTATCAGCCTTTACAGATGTAAGGAAACTGGATGATGATATTGTATAAATACTGTGAGAAACACAAGAATGGAGCAAACCTCTTTTTGTCACTTAGATATGCTGTTCAGAGGGGCTGGCCTGGTGAAAGCTGTGATTGCTTTACTTTGTGAAAGCTGTGATCTTCTGTGGTTGCTTCCTAACACTACTCAGCTAAATGCCCTTTTGTCTTTCAGCAAAGGGGAGCTGGAGGAAAGCAGCCTGGGGCTGCTCTGGTTGATGAAGTCTCCAAACTGGCTGAAAAATGTCCTCTCTTGGATCACCAAACCCTTTGTAAGGTCCATTTCTTTATAGCATAGATGGAATTAAGCAATAAGTGGTGAATACTTGGCCTTCCATTGCAGTAAGGCTTTCCTGTAGACAAGTCACTAAGCGTTGCTTACTCCCTGTGCTTAGGCACATATCCAGATGGGAGAGATGCTATTTCTGCTCCTCCTCTCCCCACTCTGGGGAAAACCCTCAAGTCCTGTTTGAGCACTGAGTCAGCAGCTTGTATTTGTGATGGAGCTAACCCAGAGAACAGGCTGGGATTGATTGTTTTCTTTCTTTGACTTTCTCCTCCTCAGATGCCTCGATTTTCAGCCATGCTAGCGAGTATGAGAGCAAAGTGAGTAAGTCTGAGCCTGAGCTAATGTGTGAAGATTTGTGTTTGTCTTCTGGAGAGCAGCACTGTTTTTTATAGCAGGTGTGCTGCCCCAGCTGCATGCATCTGAGAAGGCAGAAGACACAAGGGTGGGAGCAGTTTATGTCAACACCATAACCCTGCAGGGTTTGGCAAACTGCTCTAGTACTGAGGATGAGAATGAGGGTGGAGGCTCACAGCCTCCTGCTTAGGAAATGGATGCAGCCTGTGATAAATGAATACAGTGTCAGCTTCAGCACTGGTTAATGCATCTGTCATGCCAGGAGGGAGGGATGCTGTAAGATGAAAAGAAGGTAAATAGGGAGGGTGGCTGGCTCTTCCTTGCTTCAGTGTTGGGCAGTTAATGGCACTTGTCTGACCAAACCAAAAGGAAACCTGGCAGAGGAAAGCCAGGACTTCGTCAAAGTCCTCTCTTGCCTTGGCTGCAGCTCCATGAACACAGCTAGCCTGTGCCCATCTGCTTTTTGATGCTCTTCCCTGCCCCTGAAGCTGGTCTTTGCAGCACTTCTTGATGCTTTTCATTGCTTTTGTTTATCTTTTTCAGCACAGTGGATCAAGTCTGGAGTCTTCATCGTGAAATTGAGGTAAAGTATTGCAATTCTGGGTTAGTTTTGGTTTTATTTCTCTTTGGAAAGAGGCAGATCCAGTACCCACCAAGGTTAGGAGATGATCAAGTCACTGGTGATGTGAGGTAGGAATATAGGTCACTTCTCAACAGATCTCACTTGGGTGTGCAAGTCCTCAGCACGTTTAAAGATTAGGGTGACACATGGACACATTCATGATCCTGAATCAGACCTGAATTTGTTAGCCCTATACTTAAAAAGTTAGGCCATCAGCTGCAGCAGACTTGCTTTTAGCAGTGGGGAGGGTGCTTTGTATGCTGGGAGACCTGTTGGCCAGGCAGCAAAAGGTGGCTGGGTTTTAACAGGATCAGGCCTTATGGCTGCTCCTGGGGAAGGGCTGAGAGCCTGGCTGGGTGCCCAGGGACCATGGGACAGTACATTCACCCCACTGACCACCAGTGTGTTCCTCCTCAGGAGTTCAGCCAGCAGTTCACCACCCAGTGGAAGAAGCTGAACCTGGATGTCATGCTTTGTCCTATGCTGGGCCCAGCTCTTGGCATTGGCTACCCTCCGAAGCTCTCAGGTAGGATGGCCAATGGGGGGTTGTGCATCCAGCGTGCCCCTACAATGGCATTCAGTATCAATGAAAAGCATTCCTCCTCCTCCCATCACATCCGAAGGCACTGGCCAGTGGTGGGAAGAGCTCAGCTCTTGCGGCATCTATAACCCAAACCTATGGGGTACACCCAGGACAACCCCCCGGTGCATTTGGGAGCTAAGGGGAAGGTTTCCATCCTATAGTCCTGGATCCTACCCTGTTAGCTGGAAGCCTCTATATGCAGAAAGCAATGAAGGGGTTCCCTGCAGCAGGCTGGCACTACAAGCTCCCTGTTTCCCGCAGTGGCAGTCAGCTACACCATGCTCTACAATGCCTTGGACTTCCCTGCTGGTGTGGTCCCTGTCACAATGGTGACAGATGAGGATGAGGAGGAGCTGAAGGGCTACCAGGGGTACTTTCGGGACTGGTGGGACCGCACCATGGCAAAGGTGAGTGGTGCCAGGTTCTCCTGGGGTACGAGCATCCTCATCCATTCCCCTGGACATCCCCCTGCCCTCTTCCCCTTCTGTTTGTGCCACAGGCTTTTCGCGGCAGCGTGGGGCTACCTGTGTCCGTGCAGTGCGTGGCCTTGCCGTGGCAGGAGGAGCTGTGCCTCCGGTTCATGAAGGAGGTGGAGACGCTCGTCCTGAAGAACAACAGTTTCATCTGAGTCCTGCATGCTCACCCGGAGCAGGATCCCAGCTAACAGTGCAGGACCTCCTTTGGTCTGACTTGCCGCAGGACTTGTGTTCCCCTCCATGAGGATGCAGTGATGGCTGGGCTGGCTGCTGGCTTTGGGATGCAAGGGGAAAAGGGATGGGGACTCCATGGTGGTGGGTGGAGCACTTACTGTCATTGTCCAATACAGTGGATTTTGTAATCGGAAAGTCTGTTATTCCAGGTCTCTGTGTGTGGGGAGGGATGGGAGTGGATTGTAATAACCCTCTCAACGCCTCCCAGGGTAGTACAAGAACAGGATCTTTCTCTTACAAACAGAGAAACTGAGGCACAGGGACTGGTCCAAGATGTTCACACTCCTGCTTAGAATGCTGTAGGAAAAGGGATTTCCCCCTCTGTTCTCAGCTCCCAGAGGACAAAATCTGGTGTTTTCCCTGCTGCCAGACCAGCAATACGAGGTCAAAGCTCAGCCTGTGTGCAGGCTCTGGCAAGCAGGGAGGGAGCTGACCCACTTCCCACGGTGCAGGGCTGCTGGCACCCTGCATGCCATGGAGGGGAGATCTGAAGTGATCATGAACTCCCATCTCCTTCAGGCACCTCCTGCCACTTTCCCCACAGCAGAGAGGCGTGAAGCGCTTCAGCTCGCGGTATTGCGTATATAAAGCAGTGTGCCGGGTCGGATGGCCAGCTGCGCAGCGTGTCCTGCACACCCTCTCTTCCCATTTGGCAGTGGGGCCACGCCAGTTTTTCCAGTGAGGATTCCAGCTACTGGCAGCCACTGCCACCAGGATTGGCAGCACCGGCTGCTCCAGGCAGGTTTCCAAGGGTGCTCTGGGAAGGGATACCACAAGGCAAAATAGTGTTTTCCAGTGCAGCGGTGTCACAAGTGGATTATAACAAGCCTCTGGCAGGATTTCTGTTTGGGGTTTTTAATGTATTGTTTAAAGCAGAGGCATGCAGAAGCATGGGGTCTTCCCAAAGCTTGGCAGAAAGATTTATCCCAGCCTAGGGGAAAGCAGCCCCTAGGACCCTCATTCTTCATTAGCAGGCTTTGAAAGGAGGAGGGGGAGTGAGTTCCAGGCATCCCAGGACTGAATGCTATGTAAAGCCAAGCCCCAGAAGAGCTTGGGTGAGGTTTGAACCAGCTGCAGGTGCTCCTTGCCCACACAGAAAATGCTGGATGGGGTTTGTCGGTTTGCAGTTTAAAACTTAAGCCTGGAGGGGCTTGTCCCATCAGAGTCAATGCCACCTTCACCCATGCTCCTGGAGAGCCAAGCACTGCATCACTCTCTTTAGTTTAACCGCTCTGCCCCTGGCACTGAGGTGGGCAGGGTGCAGGAGTCAAAACAATGGAGATACCAGTGGAACTGAACCAGCAAACACGCTGGAAGCCCTGAGTGAACACCTCCAGCCAGCCATGGCACAATGCACTGGGCAGGGCCAAAGGTGCTGCGTGGCTTTGGGGATTGAGGTTGCCAATAGGGATTGGCTGCTAGCTGCTCCCAGGGGGAAGCTGGTGTGAAGGGCAGGGATGGGGCAATGAAGGCCACATCCCCCACAGTGGGTGACATCCATGTTGAGTTGTTTGGCTGTTTTTGTCTCTGTCCTGGCCAAACTGGGAGGATCCTCCTTGCCTTTCCAGTAAGCACTCAGTTTCTGTACAAGGTCTTGCTTCTTCCCCAAGCTCCCTTCCCTGATGCCACAGGAATGATCCCACAGGACATGTCTGTAACAGGCAAGGTAACATGATAGCTTGATGGTCACTGGATTCTGGTCCCCAGACAAAATTGCACCAGACACCAATGATTACTACCCTGGATGAAGCCTCCTTACAAACTCTGCTAAATGTAGTGCCTGGAGCAGAGCCGACATTGCTCCAGATACAGCAGTGTTGCCTTGCATCTTGGCAATGATCTTTGAGACATCCCCACTTCATTCCTTGGGGGCTTGCCAACCCTTGAGTCGTGAGGGAAGCTTAATTTCTTCAGCCTCTGCTTTCTCCACTAAGCCATGGGACAGTTCCATGCATCCAAGGCTGTGTGGTCCAGCTCCTTTGCTTTCTGCGGCTGGAACACGGATTAGAAACTGGAGAGCAGATAGGATGCTGGGTCCATCAGAGGGGCTTTCCCAGAAGTGCCCCCCCCCCCCAAAAAAGGCATTTCAATGGGTTTGGTTTGGAAATGACACAGCAGTCATACTCTTTGAAGGCATCTTTTGATAGCTCCTTCCACACTGCCTTTCCAGAGTCAGTGTCCTGCTTGTACCTTCATGCTCTTTCTTCTTCTGAGCTCCTTGCTCTTCAATAGGTGAAGTTTCACTCCCTGCACCAGGTTCCCCATGACAAGTAGAGCTATGTAGTCCTAGGCTCAAAAGGCTGCACATGCTGCTGCCTAAGGGACAGAGATGATGGCAGAGCACCCCTAGTTAATGCACTTAAGTGCTACTTAATTATTAAACATGGGTGTAGTAGGGATAGCCCAAACCTAGCTTGTTTACCAGCTGCCTCCTGTGTGTAGCCAGGTACAGCAGCAGCAGTGGCTTGAAGAAACACAGCCTTGCGGGATACCCCCCTGTCCTGGTTCAGCAGTAGCAGTCATTTTTCTCCTTAGTAGCCGGTGCAGTGCTGTTTTTGGCCTGGGAACAGCGCTGATAACACCGATGTTTTTAGTTGCTGCTCAGTAATGTTTAGTCTGACCAAGGACTTTCTGAGTCTCATGCTCTGCCAGGGAGGAGGGGAAGCCGGGAGGAAGCAGAGACAGGACTAAGAGGTATTCCATACCACAGCACATCATGCCCACCATATAAACTGGGGGAGTTACCCAGAAGGGCTCAGTCGGGCTGGGTATCGGTCGGCGGGTGGTGAGCGGTTGTATTCTCTTCCCTTGTTATTTCCTTTATCATCGTTATTATTGGTGGCAGCAGCAGTGGTTTGTGTTATACCTTAGTTACTGGGCTGTTCGTATCTCAACCTGTAGGAATTATGTTCTTTTGATTCTCCTCCCCATCCCTCTGGGAGCTGGGGGAGGAAGGGAGGGGAGTGAGCAAGCAGCTGCCTGGTTCTGGGCTGCCCTCTGGGCTTAGACCGCAACACGCCCTAACCCAGTGTGAGCTGAACACACTGCTTTACAGCCTGAAACACAGCGCTTCTCCAGCTGCCAGCCCCTTTAAAGTCTGTGGTGTAAAACATCCACTCCTAGACTTTAATGTTAACATGGACTTTGATAGTGCAGCTCTGCTTCAGAACTGATCTTGCACAGCCGGATTGCGCAGTCTGCATTCATCAGCCCTCCTTAGGAGAAGGCAGGAGACCCAAGCGTCTGTAGCTGGACTGGAACGGGAAGGACTGGGAGAGGAACCATGACCCAAGAGCGACTGTGGCAGGTCCTGGATGCATCATGGGGAGACCCTCGCACCCTCTCTGCTCTGCTGTGCAGCTCAGTAGCTGTTGTTGTGCTGCTGAAGTGGCTGGAACGTAGGCAGATCCAGCAGAAGATGAAGGAGGCGAGGAGGGCACGGGATCTGGCCCTGGAGCGAATGCAGAAGGCAGCTTGCGGGTTTAAGCAAGAGGTACCTTGGGGGAAAGTGTGTGTGGGAGGAAGGGATTGTATTTGGGATAACTAAAGAAATGGAGTGCTGATAAGATCCCTCTTTGAGTGGCGCTTAGGGCATGTGCACTTTTTGTGTCATCACAAATTCTCTGGAGGTTCACCACCCTCCATTGCCACAGAAAGACCTCCTATAAAGACAGCATAAAGGAAGCATTTCTTAATAGAGACCTCTTAAGGGAATCCTGAGGATGAAAGACAGGAGTTCGGGATCCCCAGACCTCCCTATGCCCTTTTCTCCTCATCCATCCCTACTGCTAAGCCTTTCCTCTGCCATCCTCCTTATCTCTGCCCTTTCATAGGGACCTGTCTGCCCCAGGACCCTCAAAGTACAAGCAGGGGTGGGCTTCACATCTCTCCAGCATCTGCACATGGGTAACCAAAAGCCATTCCCTCCTGCCCATGCTTGGGTAAAGAAGTACCTGGATTTTAGGAGGTCAGGTCCTTGGACATGGGATTTGCCTTGAACCTATAATAAAAGCCTACAGCCATTCTTTTCTTGGGGAGGGGAGGTTGCAAACAGCCCAACACTTTTTTTCCCCCCATATTTATGATAAATTTTGTAAAACTTTGGCTGGTTGAACTGCTCTTCAGCACACACTCATATCTGTGAGTAAACACAGATAGTTCAAACCTCTCCTACGTGTTCATGCAGCTCTCCAGTCAAGCACCCATTTTCTGCCTATTTGGTTCTGGTTTTATGAACTAAGACTCAACAGATTCCCCATCAGTACATTCCTCACTCCAATACACAGAGCACTATGTGGGACCCCTGCATTTCTACAGGAAATGCCTCCTAAATTCCCATTCAAGGTCATTGCTGGGCACCTATTAGAGTTGGGTATTTGCAGCCTCAACAACAGCCTCTTCTGTTGGTTTCTTCCCCCTGCACCCAACTTCCTGCCCTTTGCAGAATCCAAGCACCCAGACTGCGCAAATCCTCTCACTGACAATGGTGGAGCTGGTGGAGAAACTGAAGGATGGTTCCCTGTCCCCAGAAAGCATCCTCTACACCTATATGGGCAAAGTGAGTGGTACCTCCAGCACGGGAGAGATGCTGCAGGGCTCTTCTGCAGTGGGGCTTTCAAATCAAAGCCCAGCTCATTTGCTGAGAGAACCAGCAATGCTAAAGGTTACAGTTTGTCAATAATGTGATGTCTGAAGGGTGGTTTATGGGTACATGTGCATGACAGAGATCCAGACAATTACTGCAGCGAGGAATATCTGAAGTTTGTAAGTAAGATCTGAATAATGGAGACTTGAGGAGGTTGAACTTTCACCTGGAAAACTCAATTTAAATATTGTTTCCTTCCTTCCTTTCATCTGTTCATCTATGTCAATGCTCTTTGTTCTGGAGAGGCTTTGGAGGTGACTCGGGAGGTGAACTGTGTGACAGACTTCATTCATGGCTGTGAAGATCAACTCCAGAAACTGAAGAATCAGAAGGAGAAGGGGCTGCTCTATGGCATTCCCGTCAGCATCAAGGAGCACATTGACTGCAAGGTACATCTCTAATTCCCATGCCTCTTGGCCTAGGGGTGGGAACAGGCCAGGATGTCTCATCCTCATCAGGACTGGCTAAGAGTTCCCTCAGATAAGAATGTTCTGGACCAAATATCATGGGACCAGCAAACCTGCCTTTCTTCTGATGGAAGTTTTGTTTTATGCAGAAATTTCTCACTTGCTCTGATCTGCTTTTCCCTGGACTACTCGAATGCTGTTCTGCTTGTGAGAAAAATTAGGTGGGAACTTTGACATGGGAGGCATCAGGGCTTGTGTCTGTTATTGTCACAGATCCAAACAGCATCTCTCCGTACTTAAAGAGCTTTGCTTCTCATCCCCAAGGGCCACATCTCCTCTGGAGGGATGGTGAAGTTCCTGGGCCAAGTAAAGGAAGAAGATAGCGTCATCGTCCAGGTTCTAAAGTACCAGGGGGCAATCCCCTTCGTGAGAACCAACGTCCCACAGACAATGATGAAGTAATTGCTGTTTGCCTTCATGAAAACACTATGATAGGTGACCCCTGCTATCTCAGAGGGTGGGCCCGTGTGCACAGGCTAAGTCTAATCAGTCTAAGCTAATCATACATGTTGAGTTCATTTCAATCTCAAATTATTTCTCTTGCATTTGATACCTCTTTTTTCTTAAACTCAGCCATCCCAACAAATCTTCTGCATGCTGGTGCTACCTGCTGGGCTTAATTCCACACTCATCCCTGCACAGATGCTCTGTGACCTGTATTTATGGTTTGCAGAGACAGAATTACCTCACTGACCTGCTCCTCATCTTCTCCCCAGCTATGATTGCAGCAACCTCATCTTTGGCCAGACACTGAACCCTCTCAACCACCACAAGAGCCCCGGGGGGTCCTCAGGAGGGGAGGGAGCCCTGATTGCAGGGGGAGGCTCTATCCTGGGCATTGGGTCAGATGTAGCTGGTAGCATCCGCCTGCCGTCCAGCTTCTGTGGGCTGTGTGGGCTCAAACCCACAGGCAACAGGATCAGGTACGTCCCAACACTTCCCAAACGGGAAGTCTGCGCCTCAGCATGGTGGCCTGCTTTACAGTAAGAAGCTAATCTGCTTCTCCCATTATGTTCCTAGCAAACTGGGTGTTGTTTCTCCTATAGTAGGAATGGAATCAGGTAAGTCTGTGCAGATGACATCTTATTACCATCGAACCTTTGCTTTTTACATCTCCTATTACTGCTGAAATGCCAGCAGATGTGCTTGCTCAATTATGTGTCTCATGGCCAGTCACTCAGCGCTCTCTTCTTCCCCATTACACTGGTTCCCATTCCTCTTCCCCATTACACTGGTTCCCATTCCTCTTCCCCAGCCTGACCTAAACTCTTCCATGCTGGACCCCTACCAGTAACTATGAGGCAGCACCTCTTCCTGCAGTGATAGGACCTTTTTGCTTGCAGTAGTGCCAGCGCTGGGGCCAATGGCGAGGGATGTGGACAGCCTGGCCCTCTGCATGAAGGCGCTGCTCTGCGATGAGATGTTCCGGCTGGACCCCACTGTGCCCCCCATCCCCTTCAATGAGGAGGTAAGGCCCAGAGGCAATCCCATGTCTCTATTTTCCCAACAACAGAAGTAAGATCTTGGGAGATTCCTGTCTGTTTTCGTGTTTCAAGATAGTGAAGGACCCAGGGAAGCAAATGTCCTTTTGAGCAGAGGCCACACAGCATGAGCAACCACAGGAAGCAGCCACAGAGCAGGGTTGGCTTATACTGATGAGACCTGCCAGATACTGACCCCTTCCCATCCCAGCAATGTTCAAAACAAGCTTGTTGGCTCCATCCTGGACCAGTCCCTAAAGGAGCTGATTTCTACTGATGAGAGAAATTTGCCTCTCACACCTTTAATTAGAGAGCATGATTGAAGTCACTGAGCTTTGCCATTAGCTCTCTGCTTCTGCCATCTGATCATGTCTTTCTGGCTTAGGTCCCAGGATTCTAGGACCTTTTAGTTGTCCCTGACACCCAGACAATACAGACCAGTCTCTTACCCTAGAAGAAGAGGCCCCTGACCTCTGTCCATGCCAGGCATCCCAGGCGTGTGGTCTGTACAGGTGCTATCATACCTGCTATCTCGAAGCTGTTCACAGGGCAGGAGGTGGTGTCAGAAAGGCCATACCAAGGACCACTGCTGCAGATCTATGAACTGGACAGCACTGCTTTCCACCAGCCCTACTGCTCCCATCATTCCTCCAACTCGGGACACCTCAGCTGCTGCTTCCGTAACCCCTGGGAATGGTCCAATCTCGTATGTCCCATGGGTGCAAGCGATGGCTTTTCTTCTCACAGGTTTACACCAGTTCAAAGCCACTTCGGATTGGATACTATGAAGGAGATGGCTACTTCCAACCCTCACCCAGCATGAAACGAGCTATCCAGGAGACAAGAAAGCTCCTCCAGGATGCAGGGCATACGGTGAGTTTTCATGCCTGCAGTTGCCTGGAGCTGTTATCCTGCTCCTCATAAAGTTAGGACAAGTCACTTCCCAATTCTCCTTTTGCTGCCCATAAATCAGGGACCATCCCTTTCTGCTGCAAGGATCATGAAGAGGAAGGCAAATGCAACAGCTTGCTTCTCAAACCAAAGCGACCTTGCTTATATTCCTTGCCTAGCAGACAAGAGAATCACCTTCCTATATCTAAGTCATTCCTTTTCTAAAGCACTGCTTTTATTTCATCGTATTTAGTGTTCCCATAAATACCAAGCTCACAGCAGTTTCCATGATCCGTCAGCCATTAAATGCAGTTTACAGATGTCTTGGTGGGTAAGTGGGAAGGGGGTTGGAATAGCTGACCCTCCAGGGACCTCCTCTATCCTAAATTACTCTGTGGCTCCACCAGTGAGGATTTCTATATGGGAGCTGTTCCAATGATGCATATTAAAAGTACTTGGTGTTTTGAAGCCTCTAGAAATGCTTCTTTAAGGACTGGAGGAACGGAGCCGATGGGAGGTCACAGTATGTGTTAATGCTTTGGAAACGGGAAAGGACAGTGGGCAGACGCTGCTAAGCCAGGTCCCCTTGAAAATGGGGTCTGAAATACAGCAGCAAGGAGGGCCTAAGCTTCCCATTGCTTCCCCCTCACCTCACTAGTGAGGCCGTGCTGTTGACAGAGGGCTCTGAATCATCGGTCATCGTTGCTTCTTGAATGGGGATGGTTTTGTTGCAGCTTGTTCCCTTTGTACCACCCAAGATCGACTACATGGTAGATGAGCTGTTCACCAGAGGGATTTTCTCGGATGGTGGTGCTCACCTGATGGACTGCTTGTGAGTAAAAACCCCATTTCAGTGTGGGCCAGGAGACCTGGAACTTGATAGCCAGTGGTTTATGTTCTTGTGGGTGAAAACCGAGTAATGAGCAGCCGGGGAGCAATATCTGAAAGGATGAATTCAGCATGAGCAGCAGCTACATTACAAGAGCAGTTGGCAAGCACAGACAATGGGGTAGGGTGATAAAGTAACACATGTCAGCAGTGCTGTGGCAACTGGTTTTGTGTGTGATTAATCCCTGGGACATGGGAAACATCACACATTATGAAACTTGCTATGGAGGTGCCATGAGTTGCACTGGCTACGGACCAAAATACCCACCCTGCCACTCCCTCACTTCAGGTGAAACATGCCCAGGGTTTTATGTGGTCCCATCACTGCAAAGCTCTCCAGAGCCTTTATGACACTGACAGCCTTTGCAGTGAGCATTTATACCTGGGAATCTAAACCCTACATCAGCATCTTTTGTTCAGTGTTTTAGATTAAAACAGGCAGGTTTTGTCTTCTACCAACTCCCCTCTGAGACAAACCCTGCTTTGGAAACAGCACTGTTGTTGCTGTAGCTCTGGCATGGAAGGCTTGTCCTGACTTCTTCACTCTCTGCCCTTCCAGCAAAGGAGACATTGTGGATCCCACCCTGAGATTCCAGTTCAATACTTACAGGCTTCCTGCTCTGGTGAAAAGGATCTTCGCTGTCCTTCTGAAACCCATAGTAAGTGTGTGGAGGAGTCTCGTCTGTGCTGCAGGAAATCTGCAAGGTGGGGAATTTTCTGCACGCAGGCAGATAGACTGCTCCCCTCTGGGACTGCTTTGCTGCTTCATGTTAAGTCCCTGATGGGCTTCATAGTGAAATACACTTGAATACACTTAGTCCCTAAACCCAGGCTGAACTTATCAAGTGGGTCTGACAGACTTCTGTGGGACTTTTGTGTGGGGATATCAAAATATGATCCATTTCATGAGCCACATAAAGGTTGGGCTCCAAGAGAATGGGTATCACTAGCAAGTATTGAAACAGCATCCTTGAAGATGCTCTCCAAGGCTAGCGGTGTGGCATAGAGCCTTATTGGTGTGGGTTGTTGTGATTAAATGTATAAATTAATGTGGGAGTAAAACCCCTTCACTAAAAACCATACCTGTTCTTCAGAGCCACTTCTGCTGGGACAAGAAGTGTGCCCAAAGTGCAATCCCATGGTAGCCAGCTATTTCAGCTGCGGTGTTGTTGACTAATCCCAAGTTTTTTCTCTTCCCTCTGAAAGTACCCAAGAATCGCTGGGGATCTCAGTGCTCTCTGTGGAGTGGGGTAAGACATGCTGAAGTAGCTCTAGAGAAAGGGGACACACAGTGCACGCACTGGTTCGCGCAGGTACATGGCTGTGCACAAAGCCCCGTCACAGGGCTGTGCAGCACAGGCTGAGCCAGATGAATGTGTGTTGCCTCAGCACCACTTGGGCTTAGCACAGTGTTATGCCATCGGGGATTATTTTAAGAGCTCAAGGATCCTCATCATGGCAGGGCTATGGAGATCAGCACAGAGAGATACAGGCTACTTTCCCCATCAGGTGGATTCTGGTACCAGAGCATCACGCGCCAGGTTGAACAGAGGTCTCTGCATGCAAGTGCATCATGGTGTGAAGTACCTGCCCTTCCAAAAGAGACAGAGACACATCAAAATGGGAGTTTTTCACTTCCAAAGTGAATTTGGAAGAGCTGCCATGATCTTTTTCTAAGTGCTAAAGCCCCAAGACCGGTGGCATGATTTAACATAAGCTCTTTTGCTGTATCTGTAAGCACGTGTGAGCCCAGTGGAATCATCTGGGTGACACTTTGCCTTGTTCCCAGAAGGCTCGCACAGTTTCCATAACAGTGGGCTGACTGCATGCTGTTAAGCGTGTTCTGCTGCCACAGTCCCAAAGCTGATTAATTCTGTCGCCTTTCCAGGTCTGCCAAAAACCTCTGGGATCAGCGTGGAGCAGTGGAGGTAATGTCAATTTGGTATTTTTTTTCCTTTTTCCTTACTAAATATAGTGAGGGATCCCTGAAGTTCCTAAGCAATTGCTTTGCGCTCTGTGATGAATCCTGGGTTGGAAATGGATCAGGTGGAAATGAAGCCGCTAGGCTCTTTGAAAGTCAAGCTTTGCAAGAAGTGCTAAGAGCTCAAGGGAGGTCTCTGTTAGTGGAGCATGGGGAAGAAAGATTATCCTTTGCCCTGCATTTTCTAAGCAGGAAAAATGTAAGTACAGCCACTAAAGATGAGTCTTCGTTTTTCTGTCTCTTGGTGTAAATCCTTCATTTCAGACATCAGGTGCTATTGTCACAAGCTAAGACCATGCTTGAGCTATCCAGCAGAGACCCTGGCAGTCAGAAACTGTGGCTGTGAACTCTTTGGCTTAGGTGGATTCCATATGATCTCATTTGGGATCAGGAACATAGGACAGGAAGTGTTCTCCTGGACAACTGAGTCCAGTGCTGCCCACACACTGTGCAGGTTCCTCTTTAAAACCAGTTGAGTTTTCTGATTGCTTATGCTTGCTTTGTTATTTTTTATTGTCTGGCTCCTCTCTTCTCTGATGGTTGGAAACCTTCATATTTCCTGTGCTGTTTATTCACTTCCAGTGTATCCACGTTTTATTCCTGTCCTTGTGCTTAAACAGAACTTCTCCTCTCTGGTATTTTCCACTGCCTCCCTTGCCCTTGATCTATTTATAGAGAGCAGTTGTATGCCCTTTCAGCTGGTGTTTTGCAAGGCTGACAAAGCCGAGTTGTTTTGGTTCCCTCCCATAAGGCAGGATCTGTGTTCCCTGGGGCACCCTCTCAGCCCTCCCTGAGAAGAATCATGCCTGCATCTTGCACCACGCAGCCTCCATCAGTGCCAGTCACTCAATGGACATGCTGCTTACTTGCAGCAGGTCTGACATTATAGGGTAGAGGAAAAACCTGCCTGGTCACTGTGCAGATGTGAGTGTTTGGAAGGAAATGGGTTTGGGGTTTTTTAGGTGAACACAGATTCCTCTCCCCCAACCAAACCACACGTACAAAAAAACCAACCACAAAAAGCAAACAAGCAAACAAACCCCCTCCAAATCTAACCAAAAAGAAAACTCTTTAAAAGGCTTGTTGGCCTCAGAGATACTTTGAATTGTTTTCTTCAGTGAACTCATATTCACATTTTTTCCTCTGCAACTAAAAGCTGATTCAAAACTTTTGGCTAGCAAACAGCTTTTCTCTCAGAACAAAACCATCAGGTTAGCTGCGTTGAGAGCATTTCCTGGAAACCTCTCTATCTCCTTTGTTCCCCTGTCAGCAGGAAGGATGTCAGCCTGCAGATGGAAACTGAGGTCAGACTAAAACAGCCTCGTGGCTGGGGCTCTCTGAGAGATATGGAAGACCCTCGTACGGAAAATGTGGAGTTGTGCAGAACAGGGACTGGACCACAGGACAAATGCATCCCTGTAACCAGAATACGGCTGCAGAAGCAGCCATGCTGTGGTCCATCTGTGTCTACTTACTAAGACAAAGTGGATCAGCTCTTTGGGGATGGATTCATTCATTGCCTGATGTTCAGCAAAGCTGTGGTTACCCAGACTACAAAGCTAGATATCTCTTCGATCTGTAGTCCAAGTCTGAAGCTGTGCTTCCTGCACTGCAGGGGGAAGAGCTTAGGCTTGCCTTGCTGTCTCTTGCTGCTGCTTTTACTTACCTGTATCCTGATGCAGCATGAAAGGTTTTGTGAAAATACTTTGAATTCACATCTTCTAGGTTCTCCTACCAAAATAACAAAGCTTTTAGGAAGCCTGACTGTTTAGTCAGCTAGACGTAATTCTTCAAACTATTGTTGATCTCCATTCAATGACATTCAAAGACTAAACTGTTCATATGAAGGACTGGATTAATACTTGAATAAACCAACTCTGAAATGCCCACCTAGCGTTAATATCTAGTTCAGGGCAGCACACGGTATTCAGACAGGAAACCTAAGGATGGAAGAACAAAATCCATTGGCTCTTTTAAAGCACGTTCCAGATTTTATTTTACATTTCAGTTGTATCCAGGAAGGTTTTTGTCCTCCCTGTTTCATGCCGTAGGACATTGATGTGCCACTGCTGTCCAACAGATATTGTTTGTCATCTCTGTCTTTCCTCCTAGGCTTACCGCACTGAATTCATTGTCAAATGGAGGAAGCTGAGGCTGGATGTGATTCTTTGTCCTGCACTGGGGCCAGCCTTTAACCATGGCTATGCTGGGAAGCTCTTTGGTAATCTCCATTGAGGTGCCTCTGGATGCATTCATGGTGGTGTTTGTGGGCAGAGCTGGAGCAAGATATTCCAGTCTCTTGGACATTCCCCATGTGTGGTGCTTGGTCTTCCCTCTGGGGAAGGTCTCCCCAGAGTGGGTCTTCTCATGCACCCAGCTCCATCAGGTGTTTGGATTATTATGGGGCAGCAATTAGTGGCACATCTGTCCCAGCCATTCATGGGTGAGTTTTCTTTGCATGTAGAAAGCCCAAGAGCTATTCTTGCAGCAGAAGGCGGCTGTGAGGAGAGTTGTCAGAGGGGTGGTAGACCTTAGTAGAAGGCCAAGCTCTTCTGAATGTGCCCATCTTACATTACCAAAGACTCTGCAAGCAGCAGAAAAGCTCACTGCCTGTGACTTTCAGAAAAATGAAGTAGTTTTATAGCTTCCAGCAAACAGCTGGGGTCCTCCATCCCCCTAGCAATGGCCCTTTGGGATCCTAAATCCCCAGGATGGTGTTACAGAACTGGGCACCTGGATTATCATGAAAAAGTAGCTGGGATTTTTCCCTGGGATATGTGAGACATAGACACAGACTGTGAATCTGATCAAATACTCCTATCTGCCTCTCTCAGAGCAGATCTAACCTCCAGCTGACTGATAGGTAAGGGATAGGTCTCTCTCTGTTCTCAGCAGCCATGTGAGCCTGTGGTTCAAACCTCTCCATCAAAAGTCCCTTTGAAAGCAGCATGTTTTCATGGTCTCTTCACATCCAGCAACTGCAGTCTGCAATTTGTGCAACCCAGATTATCATCTGACCGTCACTGCTGGCCCAGCACACTCAGTTTTGCCTTTCTCCATTCTTTGTGTGACCTTTTACAGCTGCGACCTCCTATACCAATTTATACAACGTCTTAGACTTCCCTGCTGGGGTGGTGCCGGTCAGCACAGTCACAAGAGCTGATGAAGAAGAACTGAAGCATTACCGAGGGCACTACGGAGACTCTTGGGATAAGAGGCTGAAAGAGGTCAGTGAGGAAAGAGCTAAGTGTTAGCTGAAGGCTATCACTGGCACAGTGACACCTCTGGCTTATCTACATCTGATGACAGTGGGAGCTTGCTTAGTTCACACAGTTTGTATACACCATGTTACTACCCTGCACGCAGTGCAGGCAGGCTGGTGTACTTCAGCCTGACACTGCCCTGTGCACGTTTTCCTTTGTCTTCTCTTCCTATAATGTCATAGAATCACAGAATGGTTTGGGTTGCAAAGGACCTTAATGTCATCTAGTTCCAACACCCTGCCATGGACAAGGATACCATACACTAGATCATGTCACCCAAGGCATGGCCTTCAACACTGTCAGGGATGGAACACTCACCACTTCTTTGGGCAACCCATTCCAGTGCCTCACCACCCTAACAGGAAAGAACTTCCTCCTTATATCCAATCTAAACTTCCCCTGTTTAAGTTTTAACCCGTTACCCCTTATCCTATCACTACAGTCTCTAATGAAGAGTCCCTCCCCGGCATCCCTATAGGCCCCCTTCAGATACTGCAAGGCTGCTATGAGGTCTCCACGCAGCCTTCTCTTCTCCAGGCTGAACAGCCCCAACTTCCTCAGCCTGTCTTCATAAGGGAGGTGCTCTAATGTCATAAGACAATATTCTTTCTTGCACTTCCCTGAGTGTTCTGACTCAGCACCATGCTTATGTTTTGCAGGCTGTGGAAGGAGCTGTGGGGCTGCCAGTGGCTGTTCAGTGCGTGGCTCTGCCATGGCAGGAAGAGCTGTGCCTTCGCTTCATGAAGGAGGTGGAGACGCTTGCCCACAGCATGAAGAGAAATGTGTAATTTCTAGGAACCAATAACCACAAAGCAGACAGAGACCTGCAGACTCTGAACCACTG